GATAGAGTTATGGTTCTTGTGCACTGCACTTTCTCTCAAAGATAATTGTGCTTGATCTTTGTATGAAGTTGTTTTGAATTCCAACAAGAAGTTTTCAAGTTATGCTCCAGACAAGGAAAAGTTACAAAGGGCAATAACTCTGTAATTAGTGCACTGCACATCCTCTCTATGTGCATGACCATTGTATGAAATTATTATTGAATTCCAACCATTAGTCTTCAAGTTATGGTCCGGACAAAAGAAAGTAATTGAAAAATAACAAAGGGCAATAACTCTGTAAATAATTTAGATAGAGTTATGGTTCTTGTGCACTGTACTTCCTCTTATTGTGTTTGGCCTTTGTATGAAGTTGTTTTGAATTCTAACCAGTAGTTTTCAAGTTATGCTCTGGAAAAGGAAAAAATACAAAGGGCAATAACTCTGTAATTAATGAGGATAGAGTTATGGTTTTTGAGCACTGCACTTCCTATCAATGTGCGTGACCATTGTATGATGTTGTATTGAATTCCAGAAAATGTAACAGACCGCTGGACCGCGGGACAATTGGCGACCAACCAGCCGAACGACCACCGAGTGATTCCTATATACCCCCAAACTTTGTTTCGGGGATATAATAATAATAACTCTATTTTGAGCAGAAGGTGGCAGTGTGGATACGAATTTTGGAGTTTACAGTTAATTTTTAAATAAGTTGAGATTACTTATTATTACCCCTCATTTTTTGTAATGTTAATTTCCATTGGCTACTGGGAGGTATTCTTACTGTTAAAGGAAGTGTACCATGTGTGACCATGCCAACTCCTCATGCAACAGCATTTTCATTGGGATAATACTTTTACTGTTACCCACAATGTGTTATTTATATATTCTCATATTTTTCTAAATAAAATAACTTTGCAAAGATAGCAAAATCTGATACTTGATGTAATATACAGTTGGTCTTAATTTGTAGTAGTTAAATTTGTTCCCTATTTGTAACCGGAATGCTTCCATATTTGGTTACATGTTCATAGCCCTTGCCTTGTATGGAAAGCTAGCTTTTAATTTTTTTTGTCACCTTTCCTATGGAAATCAATTTTAAGCATAAGAGTGAAGGCAATGAAACAAAGTAATGCCAAATTTGCCCTAAATTATCATTTCACTGCTTGAAATAGTTTTTACTGCTACTTTTAACATAGAAATGTATATTGATTTTGTACTGTTTAATATTGTCTGCAAAATGGCCAAGCTTTTACTAAACCTGGAGTACATGAACATTGTGTAGAGGTTACAGCTCAGGTTTTTTTTTCACTTAAATGCATAAACCGTATGCAAATAGAGGTATTGGTCAAGCACTGGGCTGGTTGAACACAGGTATGGTGACTCTTAATATGAGCTATCGGTAGGACAGCAAGCGCGGCTACTCTTTGTGCTAATAATACTGATAATGTAAAAAAATTCTAAGTTCAAAAAGGACCTTTTATGCTCTCAAAGAAGTGCATAGAATTTAAAATTGTTTCAAAGCCAGAATGATGTCAATGCAATATGAAAATATTTGAGGTAGTACCCTAACTTAAACATAAATTCTAAATTGAAAAAGGGGCATAATTCTGTCAAAATACTTGAAAGAGTTACCTCCTCCTGTCTATAGGTTTGATAAGGGGCATGATGATGAATAAAAGTGCAAAGTTTGAATGACATATGCCAATGAACTTTGAAAATATTTGAGATGGTACACAAACTTTAACATAAATTTTAAGTAAAAAGGAGCATTATTCTGTCAAAATACATTATAGAGCTATCTCTTCCTGCCTACAGGTTGGGGACATAATAGTGAACATGTGTGCTAAGTTTCAAAGCAATATGTCCATGAACTTTGAAAATATTTGAGGTGGTACACAAACTTTAACATAAATTTTAAGTTAAAAAGAGGCATGATTTTGTAAAAATACCTGATACAGTTACCTCCTCTTGTCTACAGGTTGGGAGCAAAATTGTGAACAAGTGTGCAGAAAAACCATATGTTAAAAATATTTGAGGTGGTACACAAACTTTAACATAAATTTTAAGACAAATGAGGGGCATAATTCTGTCAAAATATCTGATAGAGCTACCTTCTCCTGTCTACAGGCTTGGGGCAAAATGGTGAACAAGTTTGCACAGGTTCATAGCCATCTGTCAATGGACTTTGAAAATATTTGAGCTGATACACAAACTTAAACATAAATAAAGGCATAATTTTGTCAAAATATCTGATAGAGTTACCTTCTCCTGTCTACAGGTTTGGTTCAAAATGGTGAACAGTGTGCACAGGTTCAAAGCCATTTGTCAATGGACTTTGAAAATATTTGAGGTTACAGGTACACAAATCAACATAAATTTTAAGTCATTAAGGGGCATAATTTTCTTAAAATATCTGATAGAATTACCTCCTCCTGTCTACAGATTGAATATGTGTGCTAAGTTTCAAATCCATATGTCAATGGACTTTTAAAATATTTGAGGTGGTACACAAACTTTAAAGTAAATTCATTCTTAGCTGAAAAAGGAGCATAATTCTGTCAAAATGTTTGATAAAGTTACCTCCTCATGTCTACAGGTTTGTGGCAAAATAGTTTACAAGTGTGCACAGGTTCAAAGCCATAATTATGTAAATGGACTTAAAAAATATTTAGGTGGTACACAAACTTTAAATATGAGTGATTATAATTATCGAAATCATGTAGTTAAGCTAAAAAACTATGGAGTTCAAATTTAATTGTTAAGAAAAGATAAACTTTAAAACAAGTAAATTATTGTTGCTGCATAAAAAATATGCAAAATTCAAAATAATAATATATAAAGACAAGAGGGCCATGATGGCCCTGGGGTCGCTCAGCAGGGCGGGGCCAGTTTAAACCAAAGGGCTTTTATTTGAACAAACTTGGAAGACACCAATTAGAAGATGTTTCATGATGTTTAGTTTTTACTAAACACAAATAATGAAAAACAATGACTTTTGCCCTCCCCCCCCCCCCTCCCCCTGGCAGGACCAATTTTAACCCAAGGGCTTTTATTTGAACAAACTTGGTAGACACCCATTAGAACATGTTTCATGCTTAATATCTTAGCCCTAGCTCTTTGGGTTCTTTAAAAGAAGATTTTTAAGTTTTTAATTACTATATGGAATATAGGGAAAATCAATGACCCCCTAGGGCGGGGCCAATTTTAACCCAAGGGCTTTTATTTGAACAATCTTGGTAAACATCCATTCGAACATGTTTCATGCTAAATATCTTAGCTCTAGCTCTTTGGGTTCTTTAAAAGAAGATTTTTAACTTTTACTCTATGTATATAGGGAAAATCAATGACCCCTGGGGCGGGGTCAATTTTGATCCCAGGGCTTTTATTTGAACAAATTTGGTAGACACCCATTAGAAGATGTGTCATGCTAAATATCTTAGCTCTAGCTCTTTGGGTTCTTTAAAAGAATTTTTTAAGTTTTTACTATATGCTTATAGGGAAAATCAATGACCCCCTGGGGCGGGGCCAATATTGACCCCAGGGCTTTTATTTGAACAAACTTGGTAGACACTGATTAGAAGATGTTTCATGCTTAATATCTAAGCTCTAGCTTTTTGGGTTTTTTAGAAGAAGATTTTTTTGAAGTTTTTACTATATGCATAAAGGGAAAATCAATGACCCCCTGGGGCGGGGCCAATTTTGACCCCGGGGCTTTTATTTGAACAATCTTGGTAGACATCCATTAGAACATGTTCTATGCCAAATATCTAAGCTCTAGCTCTTTGGGTTTTTTAGAAGAAGATTTTTTAAGTTTTTACTATATGAATATAAGGAAAATCAATGACCCCCTGGGGCGGGGCCAATTTTGACCCCAGGGCTTTTATTTGAACAATCTTGGTAGACACTCATTAGAAGATGTTTCATGCTTAATATCTTAGGTCTAGCTCTTTGGGTTCTTTAAAAGAAGATTTTTTAAAGGTTTTTACTAAATGCATATAGGGAAAATCAATGACGCCCTGGGGCGGGACCAATTTTAACCCAAAGGCTTTTATTTGAACAATCTTGGTAGACACTCACTAGAAGATGTTTCATGCCAAATATCTAAGCTCTAGCTCTTTGGGTTTTCTAAAAGAAGATGTTTAAAGTTTTTTCTTTTGGTTGCCATGGCAACCAGAGTTCTGCATGGAATGGAATTCTTTGAACAACTTTGTTAAGGCTTCACACAAGGAACATCCCTGTGAAGTTTCATTATGATCTGCCTTATGGTTTCAGAGGAGATGTCGTTTGAAAAGTGTGAACGGACAACAGACGACGTACAACGGACGACGGACGACAGACGACGGACGAAGAGTGATCCTAATAGCTCACCCTGAGCATATGCTCAGGTGAGCTAAAAATAAAAATAGATAAAAGATAACTTACTTTTTTTATACAGATACATCAGTCCATCCATAACACTTTCATAAGATAATCCAAGATGTCTATTTATGTGCGCACATTTAAAACTTTTCCTTATCTATCTACTGCAGTAAATGTTTGATTCATATTAAAAACGATGTCTATTTCTTCTGTCACTTGTCTCATAATCTATTTATAAATTGTTTCGCTAAAATTCATTTAAGGTTACTCAGTACTTGTTGTTGTTGTTTCAAACACAAACCTGTACACTCCAGACTTCAAGGTGCCATCACGTGTGACCACAAAATTGTCTGATTGTTTTATAAATGTTTTAAAATTTTCAAATGTTTTAAACTTTTCAAATTCTGTTTCTGGTTTAATATCACAATCTTCCATCCATACTGTCACTGTATGTGGTAGTTTGTTTATAACAGTAATGAGATCATGTAACACTGAACAAGACATTGTTATATACAACAAGTAAACACGTTCAATATTGATCATTTGAGGTGACAGTGTTAATGATCTTTCACCTAGATTGATGTAATACAACCTAACTTCTTTCACATGATATAACAAAGATAATGTTTGTAACATTGTTTCTATGCCACTGGAAGATTCTAGAAGACCACACTTAAATGTTTGTAGTTTACTGGCTGCTGGTAGTTGACTGAGATAAGATGACACAACACCAGGTTTATATAATTTACCTACAGTACTTTCCCTTTTTAAAAAAGGGTAATCTATGTTTTTGTTTTGGGCACAGGTATCCAGGTCAATTCCCAATACTTAGTTTTGAATGTTTTAGACAGGCAAAAGGGGGGGAAACCCCCACCCTTTTTTTATTTCTTTGACACCCACTTTAAACCGTTCAAACTTTTTTTCTTTCATTTATTTTTTACTATTAAGGGGAAAATTTAAAAAATGTTTCATTCCCTTTGTGGGGATATTTAAAACAGAAAATTTTAAATAAACACTCCAGGTATTTTAATTTTACCAGTCCTTTTAATTTTTCTTCCCGCAAAGCCGGGAAAATTTTACTCCTACAAATTTTATGAAATTTTTTATTTTCGTGAAACCACAGTTTTTTAAAAAATTTAAAAAGGGGTTTAATAACAAGTCATTATTTCCTTTTTCTACAATTTCCCCCCTGTAAAAATAAAAATTTTCTATATGTGGAAGGTCAGAGAGTGTAAACAAATTGATAATTTCTTGTACACTACAAATACCTTCATTATCTATTTTTATTGATTTTATGTCTTCTTTATTTTGTTGACACAGATGTTGTAATTGTTTGAAGTAGTTTTCCTGTTGACATTTTTCATTAATGATGAAATCTTGAAAACACAATTTGAGGTCTTTGGTTTCCTTTCTTTCTTTGCTACAAGAAATGTACATGTCTTGTATTTCTTGTAATGGATCAATGTACATGTAATCATACTCTGTCATAGTTCTGTATTTGTTCGTTTTTTCATCATTGTTTATCACAGGCATCAAATCACTTGATATTGTAGACATCAAGTTAGGGTTCATGCCACTAATAAATGCAAACACTTTTGACATGTCTAGAATATTTTGTAAACAGTTGCACTCTTCAAATATGATTTTCTGAACTTCATTTGTATTTTTAAAACTTAAAAATAATGCTGAAAAGTATTCTTGCACTGTTTTATGTGAAAATGAGATTTTAGATCTTTCAACTATTAATGTTTTCACTTTACTTTCAGATAATATTCCTGATAGACAACTTAATTTCAAATCTTCTTGGTTAAGATATTTTTCAGCAACATGTTCATCAAAAACTAATGTGTGCTCCTTTTTCTTACTGAACAATGTATTAAAAGCTAGTTCCCCAATAGTCAACAGAAACGTGTAGTAACTACAAAAATGTTGATGTTTTCTGAAACAATCAGGAATGTAACTCAGAGACTTTTCACACGATGAATGAAACTTTCCATGTAACTTTTCTGTTCTAGATAGAAGGAGTTGAATAATGCCTGTATATAATTCTACTGCGGAATTTCCTATTGGAATTTTTTCAACCCATAAACATATAAGATAGAGTAACAGAAGAGGGGTGGATTCCATGTCTTCAAGGTCATGGTCACTGATTGCTTCTTCAAATCTACACACTTCATTTTGCAGTTCACCATCTTGAAGGTTTACATTCAACATTTTCATAGCATTACAATTAAACTTCCTGATATTGTCTTCATTTAGTTTAACTAGCTCTACTGTTTCGCCTATTTGATTCAAGTTTGACATTCCAAGCTTCCATGGGCGGGTCGTTGTTAAGATTACACATTTTTCACGTGCATATCGATGCGGAATACTTTTAGGAAGTCTTGTACAATTGTTGTCAGGATGAGTCCATTCATCTAGTCCATCTAATATAACAAGACACTTTTCATCATGTAGAATGTCCTTTAATAGACCTTTTGGCATTGAAGATGAGCAAGGAAGGTATTGTATGACTTGTTGTTCAATCATGTCGTCGACATCACAGACTTTAGCTGAATCTCTCAATTCCACCATAAATAAAAACTCAAAGCTAGATAATGCTTTTAACTCTTCTTCTTTAAAATGCTTATAATTTTCACCCTTTTGATGAGCTTGACACCATGTCAAGGCAAGATATTTTGAAAATGCCGTTTTCCCAAATCCAGCGACCGCTGATAAATATATTTCTTGTGGAACTTTTTTACCCCATGTAAACAGATCCTGTAACGACTTGACTCTAGTTGTTTCTTTCCTTCCACCTGGCAAATAAGTCTGTATGTCAATTTCTGGCATAATGTAGAACCCGGCTAGAGGGGTAGGGAAAGCATCTGTGAGTGGTGAAAGACAAACTGTGCTCTTATTGGTGTTGTACCATGTAATAAGTTCATTCTTCAGGTCTTAAAAAGAAAAACACAGTATATATTCATGACATTCATGACAATTCACTAAAATACAATCAGTCATATCGACTGCTGTGTTTAATACTTTTTAATTACGGATCTCAGAGACATAGATCTATACCATTTACATCGCATAACATTTCAGATGTATCTAGAATAAGAACATACAGTAGATCTGTGAAAAAGGAACAAAACAATCTCTGAAAAAGGAAAAAACAACAACAAAAAACACATTTTCAAAAATGAAACAAAAAAGAATCGCTACTGCAGTAGATTTAATTTAAATAAACTAATGTACTTGTTGATCTACAAATTGATAAAAACTGTGTTCGTCTGCTCCCTTTTTAATTTAGACTTATTTTAAGATCACATCCGTGTTATTTGTGCCGTGTGGCGGCTGTAAAAAGTCTCCCCGTACATTTAATCAATGATGTTATATTTTCGATCCTTGAAGATCGTTCAGCACGACATTATTGTTGTGCTTGTGGTATTTTTAGTTTCAACTTTTCGGCATTTTCTATATGGGTGGTTCCAATATTCCTACTTGAATAATGTTGAATCACCCTTAGGATATGTTGCCTGCTTTTTAAATTTGTCTTTTGACGTCTTATCTGTGATACGCAGGCTTCATAACCTCTGATCCCCTTTCAAAATTCCATTTTATTTAGTTCCGCCCATTGTTTTCTCGTTTAGGGCACACGCTTTTTATTGCTTGGGGACCATACGCCGCTTTTCATGGAATGGCACTTAAGTGTCACATTGAAGGTTCCATGATAACCGCCGTATGAACACATCTGCGGATGTTTCTAAATTCAAAATTTTACTATTTCACGTTTAAATGTTGAATTCTGCTTAAGCCGGTGCTAGGGGGCGTGGACGGTAATTTGCACTTTCCAGTACCGTCCATGAACAGGCTCAATCAAACCGAGCCTGCAACATTTTCAGTTTTGCCGTGTTGGGCTTTCTTTAGGGATTTTGTATTTATCTATTTTATGTAGCAGACGAACACATTTTTAGCTCTAATTGATTTAATTTAAACTGATACACAATATTTTAAGAATACCTCATTGTTTGTATTTGAAGCCAAGAGCATCTAACTTGATTTATGATAAATTCAATCTGAATTTTTCAAAATCATGAAAAACGTGGCAGCAGCCTCCAGTCTTAAGTACTTAATATGAAATGCACACTGGTGTAATAAACATCAATCTAAAATAAACTTTTATCTGACGTAATACTGTATAGGAGAAACAAGAAATACCATTTGGAAAGATACACTGCCATTGTTAAAGTTTCAAGACCGCGTGTAGATCAAAGGTACTAGTCGTATTGATTTGACCTAAAATATGATTAATCTTGTTATTCATGTAATATTTTATCTATACAGTACATTTAAAAAAAATAAATAGAAAATTTTTTTTTTGTTATATTGTTATAGATCTAACTAGCTTAAGGTTTTCAGCATACCCGTTTATATACTATGACATGACGTAAAATACGCCGCATCAGATGAAAAACAAAATTATTAAAAAGCGGCTTATTAAGTTTTGGAAGCCAGAACTAAGATCTAGTAAAAGATCTATAGCAAAAATCCTTTTTTTCTGTTTATTTTTTTAACGTTCATGTATGGATATATTACATAATTAAAAAGGATTAAACATATTTTAAGCCAATCAATGCGACTTCTAGTCTAGCTTATTTGGTCTAGATTCTATACTTTACTGTGCTTTTATATATTTCATAAAATTGTAGAAGGGATCATGTCGGGGACCATCAAACACTTTTTGGACATTTTCGACACAGATTTTGCAATTTTAAAGGTGGATACCTGGAAATTTGACATAGTAAAGCTAGGTTCTTCTTCAAATGGAAGAGCTAGTTTGTATATATTCGATATAATAAAATAGGGAAAAACGCTTGTATTTGAGGCTCATCTGGGGGTTGGGATGGGGATGGGCAGGGGAGGCATCAACATTTCCTAAATCGTCCTCATTAGAGTACCATGTGTCCGGACGGATATGCATTTAACTTTCCAACCTTATCCAGATAATGGCTTTTGTTTTTATTATTTTATTTTTAACATCAAATACAATATACCGCAAGAATGCGTTTTATTAAGAATCTTACGACCGATTTTAATCGTAAGTGCAAAACTGTGAAAAAAATTTACTATTCTATATGAAGCGCATGCCAGCATCATATTCTGAAATTTTGAGTATTCTAGATCTAGATCTATTGTCTATTTTGAAAATAAATATTAAGAGATTAATACACGACAGAGTAGGGCCTGAATGTGATAATCGGCCTCAAAAATGAATAATGGCCCGAGTATTAATGTCTTTAATACACTTGATATAGATCTACAGTAATAGTGCCATTTTTCTAAAAAAAATACTTTGATATTTCTTGCGTTAAAATTCATGTCTGTATTTCTACTGTACAGTAGATCTACTAACAATATCTGTCATATGTTTCAATTAAAATCGGAATACCCGTCCCGAGTGGACCCCGCCCACTGGGCGATAACGAGGCTTGCAAAGTTACCGAGGGGCGGATATTCCGATCCGAACCGCAAACATAATTTATCTCAGATATTTTTTCTTGCATATTCTGCCATAGTATTTCATATTTAAAAAGGTTTACCTCAATAAGATATTTGTATACTTTTCTTGTTAAAGCAAATGTTAATTTCTCTACGGCAAGTCTCTGTTGTTTATTTTCTGTTGTTATTGCCGAAGTACTCTTCATTTGAAGATGAACGGGAGAAAACACGTGTCATGTTTCTAAAAGTAACATGACGTTATCGGTGTCGTTTCATGATTATTTTACAAAGCTGGATCTACAAGATGTAGATCTGACGGTTTAGTTGCAATGCATAATTAATGGAAATCTTTCAAAATGAATGATAAGCAACAAAACCAGATGTCAACATCGAGTCACATGTAGTCTAGTCGATCTAGAAACTGCAGTTACACTGAAGCTGAATAGAATTTCGAAATAGATCTTTATAAACGTCACGACAAATTCTCATTCTGAAAATTCTGAAGTTACTCGAAATTTCGACTTATAAACTCGAAATTTCGACTTATTTACTCGAAACTTCGACTTATATTGCACGACTTTCATTGGTTACCGGTGAAAGCAAGGATTGAATTCAAGATAAATTCTTTCGTGTGTAGCTGTTGCACATTGACAGAGCACTTATGTATTTAACAGAACAATTTAATAGGGTCAAATTATCCACACATACTGAACATGTCCTTCGCTTTTTTATGAAGGGGGTGGGGGAAGGGTGTGTAAAATCACACTTTCAACATTTCCGTGTTAACCGCATGTTCCTTTTTCAAAAGCACACATAATATATAACCATCATGTGGAGATACAACAAGTCCAAAAAATAACAAGAATAAAGGTCAACAAGGCAAAGGCAACGTTCACAGGACGCCGCCCCCGGACACACCCAAGCAGGACATCCAGAAGGCACCAAACAAGTACCTGGAGTGGACACAAAGGAGCGGGAAATGTAATGTGAAATAATATAAACAAAAACAGGCCCATAAGGGAATTAAATTGAAAAGGGCGGTACGGGTGAAAAGGTTGGGGGGGATAAAAATGGTTGAAGGGGGAAGGAACTGAATAAATACCTACCGTCAACGACAATCCAACAAGACAGACATCACAAATCACGTAAACATTCAATACAAGTAACAATACAGACAAGAAAAACACGTGAAGGAACATACAGGGGTAACGCCTTGGAACGGTCAATGGTAGTTAAACCACTGGGGAGTTTAAACCGATTTTAGGCGCAGGAAACCTCACTCTTAGCCCCAATATGTTCCTGAATGACACGAAAGTGTATATAAAATTAATCCCCGCCAAGTGAAATTCTAACAATGGTCATGGTTACATTAGACAAAATTAATAAAACACATACAAAATTATGTAAAAATGTAGAAAAAGTTACTGCCTAATGACCATAACCAAAGTAATCGATGCCTTAAAGGAAGGCAGAGCAACAAGAAAATCACCTACAAGGGCCCGACGAAGCAAGGCAGAAGACGAACAATAAGACAATTCAGTCCCCAAAGGTCTTTAAGAACTGTCCATCATAGAGTGTCCCACTTGGTCCGTCAGATGTAATCAAAAGAGGAAAGCGTAGCGTCCAACTGTAAAAGGGTTGAACACCAAGCGTGCGGTATGCCTTATAATAATTGGGTCATAACCTCTTTTAATAAACCGTTTGATAATTTTAGTGAAGACGGCAGCAAAAATTACTATGACCCATGATCCTACGAAGTTTGTAAACCACATCTCCATAGAAGTCAGGCTTGCTAATACCTTGTCGTTAAAGAGTTTTTAAATTACAATTAAATTTTAAAACTAAGTCTGAATTACGATGGTAAAACTTAGTAAAATATTTACGCAATTTATGAAAGCGATAACCTTGTTTAAGAAGTTTGTAAGTAATAAATAAATTGCGTTCATTAAAATCATCAACACGACTGCACGCCCTAGCAAATCTAATTAATTGAGAAATATACACCCCATATGATGTAGCATGAGGTACATCTCAAACTTAATAAAGGATTATTCATGTTAAAAATATCATCAAGGTAGCGGGAAGTGTTGTTGAATGCATATATAATTTCCTGATGCGAAGTAGGGGAAAGACCTAACATAAAATCCCTCTCATAGCAATAAAGAAATAAATCAGCTATCAGGGGGGCACACTTAGTTCCCATTGGAATGCCTATTACCTGTTTGAAAACTGTATTACCAAACCTGACAAAAATGTTATCAAATAAATAAGAAAGTGCTTTACAAACTTCGTCACAGGTCCACATTGTATATTAACCCTATTGTAAACTGTGCAACATTCATGTGTCAAACAAGTTTTTAATGGCGTGTATACGCCGGTTAGTCTGTCACGTTTCTTTATACTTATAATGTTTTGTTATATTATTCATTATTTACTAAGACTTTGATTCATATTG